AGTCCTCCTCCTCCTTCGCCATCCTCCACCAGAGAGAGAGAGAGAGAGTGCAGTAGTAGTACTCCTTCGCCATCCTCCACCTGTCTCGTTCTTCTTCTTCTCCTCCTCCTTCTTCACTTCTTCTTCTTCTTCTCCTCCTCCTCCTCCTCCTCCTTCGCTTCTTCTTCTTCTTCTTCTTCTCCTCCTTCGCTTCTTCTTCTTCTTCTTCTTCTTCTTCTTTTCCTCCTCCTTCGCTCCTTCTTCTTGCTCTTCTTCTTCCTCTTCTTCTTCTCCTCCTCCTCCTCCTCCTTCGCTGCTTCTTGTTCCTCTTCTTCTTGATCACCATTTCGTGCCCCCCCTGCCCGCCATCCCTGACTGCCATTTCCATTTTTTTTATTTTTTTGTCTTGTGCAGGCGCGCGTGGGGCCGCGATTTCGACCTTCCCCACGACTCGTCCGCCATCTCTAAACGCCCATCTTCTTCTTCTTCTTGCCCACCCTTTCTCACCCCCGGCCCTCCATCCTTTCTCACCCACCCTTTCTCACCCCCCGCCCATCTTCGACCTTCATCATCTTCTTCTTCTYGCCCACCCTTTCTCACCCCCCTCYYATCTTCTTCTTCTTCTTCTTCTTCTTCTTCTTCTTCTTCTTCTTCTTCTTCTTCTCCTCCTCCTCCTCCTCCTCCTTCCTCTTCTCTTCCTCCTCCTTCGCGTGCGTATGTGGACGTGCTTTCTTCTTCTCCTCCTTCCTCTTCCTCCTCCTCGTCCTCCTCTTCTTCTTCTTCTTCCACATACACGCCTGCAAGGTCTGTGACATACCAGCACTGACATCCCCCAGACCCCCCCAAGACCCCCCACTGACATCCCTCCCCCAGCACCCCCCCACCCCATCACCCGCACACCCCCGAAGTTCACTTTTTTTATTGCAGATTCGGGGTCCTCTAGGGTAGCGCAGCACAACCCCGCCTTCAAAAAAAAAAAAAAAAAACTCCTTGCTGTGTTTTTGCGTTGCCCGGTTTCGCCGGGCAGACCCCCCCGGGCCCAACCAGCCGGGGCCCGGCCGGGCGGTGGCCCAGCCTAGGAATTTTCAATTTTTTTATGTTTTTGTTTTTTGGTTCCGGACTCCACCAGAGTTGCTACCGATTTACTGAATATAAAGCCCAGGTTTTATAAATGAATATACCCCGCCCGTACGTTCTACTCGTATACAATGTCCGGGCGTTATTTCCGGGTGAAGACGGAAGTTGCTGCTGCCGTTGGTGCTGTCCTTGTTCTCGGTGTTGTTCTATTTCTTCTTTTTTGAAAAGGGCGGCAGCCTTGTGATATGATCATTGTACTGACCGGGCCCAGGTAATTCAGAATTATGTTATTTCTGTTCATCTGGTTTTTGCAGCTGGATTTGAACTCAGGTCTGTATTTCAACAGTTCATGGGTGTACGAACTGATCTAGGCCGCAGTTAGTTCACAAAACCTGGTTAAAATACGAGCAGTTAAGGAAAAAATGCAATCGTAAGTCTGCAGTTGTAAGTTAACTTGTAATGCAATTTGATAATCTTCGATGTTCTATTTATGGTAAATCAAAGAGCTCTAAAATGGTTCAGGTGAATAGTAAAATAAGTCTGGCATTACGGGGTCGGTTGCTGGCCACAATTTTGGCGCTTTTGTAATCGAAATTGTCAGATCCTAATGGCAGGAGTGTCCCGGATGACTTTATAAAAACGGCACAATTGCAGCTAATGTTGGCGTTTACTTAATTGAAAATCGTCAGATCTCCTACTCGCGTGAGGTGACCCTGATGATTTTATAAAAACGGCGAAATTGGGGCTGTTCAACTTATTCTTAAGCTACCCAGTTTTTGGGGCTTTAAATTATCAGATGTACCCAGTTCCATGGGATGCCTGGCCGGGCTTGGGTTGGGGGGGGGGGGCAAAACCGCACCCATGTTGCGGCCTATAAGGCTATAATAACTGTTATGTCGCAGGTCCTACCTGTCCCAAATGTGGCCCAGGGTGTAACAGGCACTCGACTGCCAAATTGCTGGGGCACAACTGAAAGGGGCTCCTTTCTTTTTGCAGAGGTTCGATCCCTAGAGCCATGGCACAAAAGACAGCGCTCCTTTTCTTTATCTCGTTTTAAGGGTTGAACCCTACAGAAATGCGGAAGGGAAAAACTTGTCGGCGAAAGAGTTTCCAGGACCCCGCAGGCTGCTGTGGATGTCCTGAAGAACTAGAACATGCACTTCGTGAAAACTGGACCAAAACGGAAGTCCGTTTTGCCAAATTATGCTATACGTTTTTCCGTAAACTAGTTAAGTGCCACAACAAGATAAGAAAGAACTGGTTTTTTAGAAAACACATTTAGCCCTGCGATCCATGTCTCACACAGCAACATATTAAAGAAAACTGTTTTTTTCCAAACTGAAGGCACCTGAAGAAGCCACGTCAATAGCATAATAGTTTTGAAGAAAAATTGAGGTCGTCCACCAGTACAATCGAGAGACCATATCAGAAATGAAAATTGGTC